TGGCTGGAAATGACACTTTTAAATAGTAAAATTCATCATTATCACATCACCATTATAATATAGTCAAAATAAAGAGCCAACAAATTCTCATATTTTATCCGCTATTTTCGGCAACCATAGAGATCTAATTAGTATTTGTGATGTACGTTACCACAGAAAATAAAACTTATAAACATTGTCTTTGATTTATTTACTTTACTTACTTCAAACCTGTGAGTCCACACGTTTCTCAGCTCCAAGTGAGGTGACGTTACAGGGATGGCGCCAGGCCCCTCGTCGGCAAGAGCTTCCCCCACCCCCACGTCGGGGAGAACCACAATTCGTCGGGGAGAAAAAAAAGTTTGCATTTTGTACATATTAGTAGACTCTAAAATCGATTAAATAAGCCTTTGACACCCCTAAATTGTCAAAATTTTGGGGGCTTCGCCCCCTAGACCACTTTTGAGGCATTTAAAACTAGGTTCGACCACCATGGTTGGGGCTGTGGTGGGAAAATTTTGAGAATATTGACCTCTGGGTGCCCGGAAATTGTACTCAATGTACTCAAATAATTCATGTCAACAATATAATACAACAATTATTTTTCTTATTACAATTTAGGGGGTGCGATCGCACCCTCTGCACCCCCTTGTATTCGCCCCAGGCGGCTCCTGTTGTATAGAAGATGACAATTTTAGTAGGGGAATGCACTAAGATAAAAAAAAAATGTTAAGCTACTATCAACAAACACCAAAGATTAAGTAAATTCTAGCTATACATGGGAAAGCCTGGGAATACTTGTTTCTTTTACAGAAAATAGCACTATGGATACTTGCCACCTGTTGATGTTCTTCATCAGTTTATGTTCATTATACTTTATAAGGCTATTTTCTTTTCTCTATATAAATTAAGTATTGTATACCATAGTAGTTGTAAGGTTACACCATAAAGGTGTGCCGATCATACAAAAGCGTTATCCAAACAATTGACTGATTTATATATAAATTATAGGCATACATAATTATTGTGTACCGTAGTCGGTGTCAGGTTACACCAAAAAGGTTTGCCGATGATACAAAAGCGTTATCCAAACAATTGACTGATTGACTATTGACGCATTCGCAATAGTACTGGTGAAGCTAAAGACGCATTGTAGTAACGTTATTTTAAAACGTTTGCATCCTGGTTACATAAGAAATAGAGGAAAGAAAACAGAAAATCTCTTTTAACCTACTAGCTCTTTTGGCCTTTGAATATCACACTTATTTCATAGTCATTCTATAAATACACTCATATTTGCCTGCGTCAACACTCCAGCAAGGAGTGGCAATACTTTTTCTGGTAAGGAGCGTCAGAAGGAAGGACGCGATGATTTTATTATTACAGCTCTTCTACAATACTGTGCGCTAAGTGCTTCTCTTCTACGATACCTTACATTTATTTCCGCCTACGGCTGTTTCCAGTTCTCTGTTACTGTTGTTGGTAGCATAACAGGTCTACTTCATTAAATATATTTCATTTAATTAATGTTAACTTGTTTAACTATCAGTATTAACTTGCTAACTTACCGTTATATAAATTATACGTATTATATATTTTTAAAATGTTTATATTACTAACGTTATTACTAATGTTATACACTAAAGGTAATTTCTTATTGTTTTAACACTTTCTTTATCTTGTGACAACTATGGTGTGAACAGAATGTTAATATGTATACTTTATCAGGGGCGGATCCAATAGGGGCACGGGTGGCACGTGCCCCCGTTTTGCTACTAAATTTAAAAATTCTCAATGCAAATCAGTGGTATGTGCTACTACTTACCTATTCTGAGACTGTTGTCCCCCCCCCCACCCGCTTGAAAAATTTTGGAACCGCCCCTGATTATAAAGCTACAGTTTTAATGTTTGTGCAGTAGGCCTACCCTAATAGCACAACAAAAAGTAGAATTTGAAATTACCAAAAACTTTATAACGAGTTGCTTCACCACTCAGATATTATCTTTGGCCCGTGAGCTCACCTTAAACAAAATATTTTAGCAAATTAATTAAGAACCAGGGCTGTCATATACATTTATTATTGTATACCGTTTTGTAAGGTTACACCATAAAGGTGTGCCGATGATGAAAAAAAAGCGTTATTCAATCAATTGACTTTTTGACTCTTGATACATTCGCAATAGTACTGATGAAGCTAAAGACACTTTGTAGAAACACTATTTTACAATGTTTGCATTCGGGTTTACATAACAAATAGATGAAAGAAAAACAGGAAATCTCTTTCTTACATGATTGTTAATTTGGCCTTTGAGTATCACAACTATTTCCTTGTCGTTCTATATATACTCATATTTGCCTGCATCAACTAACACTCAGGCAAGGAGCGGAAATATTATTTCTGGTAAGGAGCGTCAGAAGGAAGGGCGCGATGATTTTATTAATACAGTTACGTCTGCTCTTCTACTCTTGCACTGGGTGCTTCCCTTTTCGTTTTTGAAATTACTTTTAACATATTATTTTCAGGTCTATTAATGAATGGGCCCCTAATAACCACATGCTGCAGTGTTTTGCACTGGCTGCTGTGCTCCCCCTCCCCGCTGGCACTGGCTGTCTAGCCTACATGTGGTAAACAGGGGCGGATCCAGAGATGTCCAAAGGGGGGGGGGGGCTGAAAGTGGGGCTGGTCGCGTCAACGCTACCCTACGGGGGCTGCGAGACTTTTGTTTTCTATGAAATAACTTCTGAGGCGTTTTGGGCGATCAATTTTTTCTTTTCGTTTTTTTTTTTACTTTCAAAAAGCCCCCCCCCCCCACAATCCGCCCCTGGTAAAAGATAAATTAATTATTTCAAATACAGTATTTATAGTTGAAGTTGAAGGAGTAATATCTGTTATGCATTTTCAACAAAGTATAATATGGGATCGAGTTTAACTATGACGTGATCTCTTGAGGCAGCCAGAGATATCGACGTCATCGTAAAATATCATTAATCAGAAGTTAATTAATCAAAAGCAATTAACCATCCATCCAAATGTTTACACAGAAAATAAACTTCCGTCACATGAGAACGGAAATTGCAACACAAAACACGAACGCACATACAGAACTTATAGGTTTCACGACATAACTTCCGATAGCATTATGCGTGGTTGGGACGATTTATTATCGGTGCATCTGCAATGGTAATTGGAATCCCCAAAGGAATTATTAACTGAATTAGGCTTTTAATCTGAGACGTGAAAACGTTCAAAAATGGTTATTCAACTGAACTTTTGGTACACAAGAAGTATTTTTATCTCCTGTTTGTTCTACTCAAAACAGAAAAAAAATCCTATTTAATATCTCAGACAGGCGCAATTCCAAGCAATCGTCACTTTTTCACGACAAACTGAAATAAGGCCCCCCCCCCAACCCCTGGTAATTTAATCTTCATTGTATGTAACATAATTGTGAATTTAGCCTTCGAAAGCCGATTCCCATAAGCGAAACAGAATGAAATCCCCGATGATGTGACCGGGCGAGAATTCAGTTAGGATTAATAAACCAAATATTTAATTATATATTTTTTAAATATCATATCTCAACAACACAGTGTAATCTTTATGACTAAAACCTAAAATTTATCTCAGAGTTTTGTATGGTTGACTACATTGTACACTGCAATAACGTAAACAACTCCTCATAAACAGTCCGATAGAGCCAAGAGAAATCCCTGGAACAGTTATTTCAGACTCTATTGTGGGGGGGGGGGGTTCGTACACACTAATCGCACACCTCATGGGCATGTATTGTACTAGGGTCTAATGATTACTCATTTTTGTTCATCATCGATCTTCTCCTATACAATACACTAGTCATGTGGCATGGCAAAGTTAACACATTCATTCCATACGGGAGTGGCTATTAGCATACTGTTGCGTCACAATAAGCGCGTGATGATTCATTACAACGTCACACGCCACAGTTATTAGACTTTGGAGGAAGACCTACAGGCTTACTAGTAAAATTCATCAAGCGTATGGTACTGTAAATCTCTCGCATCAGCCAGAGGACGATTGTGGAAAACAATAATTTTCTCATTGTCATAGTAGACTGGTATCTGAAAATAACGCGTCTGAATTATCCTATTGTAAACTAATTTTAAGATAGAACACTCAAAGTTTAACGATAGGTGGAAAAAACTGTATTAAGTATGACTACTCCATATTAACATTCCAAATGCCTATTCGTAATTGGTACTGCAGCAGGGAACATTGAAATTAAACTGTAATTTCACTGTTCCCTGCTCCTTGGTTCAAAGTTTTTAAGGGATCACCTTAAAATTGAATACAGAGACAAAAAACATATGCAACAAGATGTAATAGTTCAATATTTATTATTCAAGATGCATTGAAATGCAAATTATTTATAGTTCTTTAAATGTTCTGTATTGATGTACTATGTACAAAATATAATTCTACAGATTTGCTAGTGAGTGCGAACATAAAATTTGTGGGCACAATTTAAAAATATGCAAGTTTTGCGACATTACGAAAACAATGAAGAATATGAACGCGTCATCAATTGTAAAATGTTTGAGACGGGACGACTGCATTCATATCGTTAGGATCTTTTCGGCGGACGATGTAAACGTTAACCTAATTACCCAACATGCACCTCCACAGTTTCTGAAAGTTGCAAAACTCCCCCAATGGACCATACCGCTAAGCCCTGCCACTTTCATATTGTTGCTTTGGTCCCAAAAAAAAAACCAGTATAGGTTTACACGTCGGAACTTTTATAATTGTAGGACATGTGTGACTAACATATTC